ACAGGGCAGAGAGGCAGAGGCCTTCCCCTGGTAAGAGCATCAGAAGTGGTCCATCTAGTCCAGCATCCTGTCTCAGACAGTGGCCAAACATTTCACCTGGACAGCCAACAACACGGCATGGAGGGCGAGGATTTCCCCTGTTAAGAACAGCCCTGATGGATCAGACCAGTGGTCCACCTAGTCCAGCATCCCGTCTCACACAGTGGCCAACCAGTTCCTCTGGAGGGCCAACAACAGGGCAGAGAGGCCGAGGCCTTCCCCTGATAAGAACCTCAGAACAGCCCTCCTGGATCAGACCAGTGAGGGTCCATCCAGTCCAGCATCCTGTCTCACACGGGCCAACCAGTTCCTCTCGAGGGCCAGCAACAGGGCAGAGAGGCTGAGGCCTTCCCCTGATGAGAACACCAGAAGAGCCCTGCTGGATCAGGCCAGTGAGGGTCTATCTAGTCCAGCATCCTGTCTCACACAGTGAAAAATCCTCATAAACATAGGTGGAGATACCAGTTATCTCCTCTTGCTCTGTCTTCTTAAAACTAATTCCCCCAACTAATTAGGAGACTGCCTCTTTGGGCAACACAGCATGGACATCAATGGTTTTTCTGCATTTCTATCCAGACAAACCAATTCTGCAGGTTTTCTAAAAAGCCTGCTGGACCTGTTTGATTGGAAATCACTGCAGGGACTGGAAACACGTCAAGTGTCCAGCACAGGCAAGGACTACTGCCTCCAGGACTCTGCCAAGCTGTCACCTGGAAATGACAGAGTTTCTCTAACGAGAGAAAGGCAATTAGGCGGGATTGCTAATGACAAAACAGAACGGGGGCGTGTTTAAGCAAACAATGGCTTTAATGACAGTGGAAAGAATTCCTTTCCTCCTCTGAAAACACATGTCGGCAAAAGAGAATGTCTTTTTTGCGGCAGGCAATTAAGCCGGCATTGTCGAAGAAAGGAAGGGGAAAGCCGCTGCCGCTTGCATTTCTTCCACCGGCGTCCTGCGACGCTTCCTCGCGACATCTGCCAAAGATGTAATAATGGAGGCGAGGAAGCGGCTGGCAGAGTTTCTGCAGGAGTCGGTTCGGAGAAGCAGGCAGGGGAAGTGGGGTGGGGAGGTACGGGGATGCCAGCCTCCAGGTGGGGCCTGGGGATCCCCTGGAATGACAGCTCATCTCCAGACGACAGAGATGAGTTCCCCTGGAGAAAATGGATGTTTCAGAGGGTGGACTCTCTGGCGTGTTACCCCACTGAGGTCCTTTTCCCCCCCAGGCTCCACCCCTGAAATCTCAAGGACTCTCCCAATTTGGAGCTGCCAATAACTCGTGGGCACTCAAGTTGCGAGCGGTCGGGTAAGAACGGATAAAAGGAAGGACTTCTTCACCCAAAGAGTGATTAACACATGGGATTCACTGCCACAGGAAGTGGTGGCGGCTACAAGCATGGGCAGCTTCAAGAGGGAATTAGATAAGCATATGGAGCAGAGGTCCATCAGTGGTTCTTAGCCACAAGGTGTAGATAGGGACTCTGGGGCAAGTGATGTGCTGTCTTCTTGGTGCTTGGGGGGGGGGCAACAGTGGGAGGGCTTCTAGTGCCCTGGCCCCACTGCTGGACCCCCTGATTGGCACCAGGTATTTCTGGCCACTGTGTGACAGAGTGTTGGACTGGATGGGCCACTGGCCTGATCCAACATTGGCGTCTCTTATGTTCTTATGGATAAACATCTGGAGCAGAGGTCCATCAGTGGCTATTAGCCACATGGTATAGATAGGAACTCTCGGTCTGGGGCAAGTGATGCTCTGTATTCTTGGTGCTTGGGGGGGGGCAACAGTGGGAGGG